AGCGGTGTCGCAGGCCGTGTCGCAGGAGATGTCGGGCCCGGTGCAGGGCCTCACCGACATGAGCGACCAAGACCTGCTCTCCTACATCAACCCCAGCACCTTCGACCAGGGTGAGTACATGGACTATTTCTAGTTAGTGTTAGTGTTAGTGTGACGACTCAGTGCTCAGTACATGTTAAACTCGCTAGTGGTTAGTGCTTAGTTCGTAGGAAAACAGTGGTTATTTGCAATCGTTATGGGTATAGTTTTAGTAGTCGTATCTTAAGACGGTCGAGGTTAATTAATGTTATTTATTATCATTTGTAGGTATTTGTCAGTTGTATTTGATTATTTAAATCATCGCCCGGGCACGGTTACTTAGTATTGATTAGTTTCATTTTTAACTATTCTAATAATGACTGCCGAATTGATACCTTGCATTATTATTAGGTTTTGAAATATATTATTATCTGTTTCGACCCAGAGATAAGTTCTTGCCACTAAATGTATGAACAGATCGTAAAAAAATCTACTCTTAAAATTTGGTACTATTGAATATTTTATCTTTCATATATTAATTATTCAATATCGATATCCGCATGCAATGCTCTAGTCATAAAATCTCTGGAAACATTTCTTGTCATAAACATTAAAAAAAAAATCAAACTGAATGTTAAAAAAATATTTGTATGTTCTTTTTTTCTGCATATAGATATTAGAAATATGTGTTATGACAATAAAATAGTTATTAACAATAATAATTTGTCTCTTGCAGTGTAAGCGAGCTCCGCGTTGAGATAGTGTGTGTTGTTGTTGTGTGGGAGGGCGAGGAGGGCGGGGGGCGCCGCCGCGCCGCGTCATGCATTTCTTAGTAATGTGTTTAAGGGCTCAAAAGCAGTTTTTATGTGAATTTTTAATGGATGTTACTATATCCGCTAGTTGTTAAACGTATACGTAGAAAATTATAATCTCTATATAAAATATATCGGATAAATGTGACGAATGAATGTGTTTTTTTTTATTATTTTACCACATGTAATAGAATGCGTTTTGATACGGCAATTAAATCATGTGTGTCAGTATTACAGAGTTAAAATTAAACGTGTTGCAAAACACTGATTTAGGAAAAAATGATTTTTTAATTTCATAAAATTTATAAGACATGAAAAAATATCGTATTTGCCAACCTTCGGTTCCAATAGTGTTTTGCAACACGCTGTATACATAAAAAACAGAAACTTATGTATTTTCTAATATAATGTAACTCATTGTAAGGAACATTGAGATGTATTCTCATATCATTTTTTTCGAATTCGAATTTTAATATTATGTACATATATGTAAGCTTTATATTTCTATTATTGTTATGTTATGAAGTTATGATACAGTGTGGTGTCGATCTTACTGATATCCTGTTTGTTATTCTGATTAAATTATCTTTTATTGTTTAAAAACAAACGTTAATAAATATGAAATTTGATTGTATAAATTGAGGTGCGAAAATTTACGAGCAGAAAGTAAGATTGTCGCCACGCGTTAATGTCCATTTGTAATTAAAATTTATACAAAAATGTAATCACTTGGCTTTGAGTTTTTTTAGACATTTTATTTAGAAACTTGGATAGTTATTCAGTATATCCGACTCGAAGGACCAAGTGGTTACTGATCGCCAACACGATAATACGGCATATAAAAAATACTAGTATAAACAATCATTTAGTTGTTATATATAAGGACAACAGTACTGAAGTGATTTTAGAGCAAAGATTATATGCTATAATTACATAGATTAAAAATATATTACGAAGTTTTCCTTTTTTATATACAAAATTCACGCTACATATTTAATGTGCCATTTACTTTACATAATGTAGGGTTGACACGACCTTGTGGGAATAGGCTCTGCAGGATGCATTCCGGGGAAATCCCACCTACATTCATGTCCCCTACCCTGTCAGCCAATCTATATCTTTCGTAATATCAAAAATACACAAATGTAATTAAGAGCTTTGTTTAAAATAAAATATTAGCCGATATAAAATGTACTTTTTATACATATTTACAATGATATTGGTTTTTAGAGCATCCTGTAGAGCCAAGTTATGACATCATTGTGACATAGACCGAGCAACTGTAGCTTACCTAGGGACCATATATATCGCTATATTAAATATACATCGTACAAAACATCATTATATTCAAATATAAAAAATGGTGCATTAAAATTACAACTTTGAATTTTACGTAGTTAGATATGAAATAAATGCGTCCTGATTGTTAAGAATGTGGCGTATATTTACAATATTTTATACATGATCGAAATATACAATAAAAATTGTATATTTACATATACAAAATTTTATATAAACAGATAATCATTGATTTTATTTAGAATCGAATTTGTCCTCGAATTTTGAGGTTATTTAGCTCCGTTAGCTATTCTACACAAATTCTTTTAAAATAATCTTGTTGTAATATAAAATACTTTATAAAAAATTAAAATCAAACTATCCATTTTTACTTTGATAATTAACTTTTTATGTAATTGTAAAAATTACTTTTTTAAATACAGAAAGATGAAAAAACTTGGAGGTAAACCGGAACGTTTATGAACTTAGAGTGGAATAAACTAAAGTACAGGAAAAATGTATCAATTAAAATAAATTATATTTGATGAAAGTAACATTCATATAAAATGTATAATTCTTTTGTCTTGTGTTAAATTTTCAAAACTCGTTACCTTTTTCATGATATGCGTATTGCGGCGATACCAAGCTTGCAATCGCTCCAAAGACAAAATACTGAATGTTAACTCCTAATAAACGTTTAAATTAACCAAATAGATATATATTTAATACATAAAAACTTTGATGTTAAATTATTTATAATTATATATAGATTTATACAAGATTTGATAAAACAGTGAATCGATTTAAGTAAATGGCTCAGTTTTTTGATGTCCGATAAAGGAATTTATTTTTCGATCCAGGCTCTGAGTCTGCGAATTGTCAAAGAGTAAATTAAAAAAATACATCTGAAATCAAAGAGTAAATAGCTATAATTTGTTCATGAAACAAAATAACCTCTTAACGAAAATATTTGTGAATTAAAAAACTTTGTAAATACCTAATCCGCCCGTATCGATTTATCAGTCTTCCATGTTTTTTTTTTTATATATTTTTAATATAAAAGGCACAAAACGATGCATTTGACAACGAAATAAATGGAGAAGGTGTATGACCAATTATAGATTGCGATATTTTGTAATCTTAACGTTACATCGAATTTTTTGATTATGAAATTTAAGTATTTACAACAGATTCTTGTAAATTTGGAATTTATGCCTTCTCCATTAAAAACTATGTAATGTTATGTATTTAATTAGTGTGGCCTACTCGCGACTTGATAGTTGATTCTGTAAGCGATATTGACTATTATTGTAATGTAGTAAAGCTTTAATTGCGGCGAGAGGATCTGTTGGGTCGCGGAGCGCCGCGGCATAGGTCTCTAGTCGGTCTATTTCAATGCAACTTGCCGAACGATCACGATTACTAAAGTGTACGTTATTTGTTTTGATGTAATTGATTAAATGTTATTTAAAAAAACAACTGTGTTTTCTTTTATGATTTATTTCGTTCCCATTACTGTTAAAATAAACCTGCATGAGGTAAAATATAAAGTAGCGGGAGATATCAAATAAGTTCCATATTTTACTGTCAAAGGCCAGATATGAAATATTTCAACTAATAAACTATTTTTATCTACAAGTTATTGGAGGAAAAAATTTAATATACCCTTCACAGTTATCAAATCCTTGGTCGAAAATATAACTATTTGACCGAACTTACTTCTATCCAAAGTTGCTACATTTGTACACTAGGGGGCTCTAAAGTTTCCTAATTACATTTATTGAAATATTTCGAAAATCCTTGAATAAAAAAATAAAGTTAAGTTGTTTACAATCCCGTAGTTAAATAATAAAATACTAGCTGTTGCCCCCGACTTAGTGCGCGTGGCATTAGAAAACATGCGAACTATATAAATAACAAAAAGCTACATATCCCTTGGGAACCAGACATTTATCGGGGATGAACCTTATCCCATTTGTACTCCAGACTTTGTTTTATATCTGTGCCAAATTTCAATAAGACACGTTGAACCGTTGCAGAATAATCGAGTAAACATTAAAAAACTAAATTGATGAATCCCACGGGAACCGTAACTATTCCCAGGATAAAAAGTAGCCTATTTGTTCTTCCAGACTATCCTCCACATCTATACCAAGTTTCATGGAGATTCGTTCAGCCGTTGAGTGTACAAACGCTAACAAACATCCATCCATCCATCGTAACTTTCGCATTTCTAATATTAGTAAGACTAGCTAGCCCGCAAATCGTCCACATGGAATTAAAAAAAAAAAATGTGAGTAGCTTATGTGTTTTTTCAGACTATCCTCTACATCTATGAAAAATTTCATCCATATCCGTTTAGCCGCTTAGGCTACAAACTCTAACAATCATCCCTCTAAACTTTCACATTTATAACATTATAATTAACTAGCTTTCGCCCGCGACTCCGTACGCGTGGAATTAAAAAAAAAACAAAACCTCTCAGTATATATAAGTATTATCTATGAACAAAACTAAGTAGCCTATGTGTTCTTCCAGACTATCTTCTACATCCTTACCAAATTTCATCGAAATCGGTTAAGCCGTTTAGACTACAAACTCTAACAAACATCCATCCATCTAAACTTTCGCATTTATGAAGTATGATTAAAAGACAATATCATGGCCATAAATATTTAATTTTATAATACATACAGTTTTATCAAATAATTTAACACCAGTCGGTCACAGTCTGTTTGGCGGCGGACAAATTCTGTGCAAACTCTATTATCCTAATGAACCTTGAAGTTTTGAAATATAAACAATTATAATACACATAATATTAAATTAAAACAATAACTCGACACCTCGTAAAATAAAATTTGATTAAATTGATTTTATTTTACAAACATCCACAATTATATGAGCATGTTACAATTATAACTAACCCCAAAACTTACACGGAAAAATAATTTCTTTTACAATATACGAAATTACAATTGATTACATTAATATATACATAATACCGCTATATACCCAAATAGGAACATAGCGTGAAGGTACAGAACAATACGAAAACTATGAGAATAATGGCAACCCAGGCGGGGACGGTACCTGCGGACCAGACAAATACAAAATTATTAACAAACACTTCAAGAATTAAATGTAGTTAATTTTATACAATTTATTTAATTGCTATATCTTTTTATACTGAGAGCAACACTTCTCCTCAGGACTCAGGATCGCGCGCGAATATCAATCCTCCTGACATTGACAGCTGTCAGTTAGAGATGTGACGTTTGTGGTAATAATCTAGTGTGGCGCCAATTCTACAGCGCGGTACTAATTTTCTTCTTAACATTAAATATGTTACGTAAATAATAATTTTTAAAATCTTCTAAAAATAAGTACAAATATAAGGTTTCTTTAAAATATTTTTTCTATATACTAACGTGGATAAGGCACGCTGTGCACGTAGAGGCAGTTGTCGACTGAGATGGAGAGCAGCGCGGCCTCGCTGCGGCTCGCCAGGGCCTGCCCGGCGCCCCCTGCGCCCCCCGCCGCACCCCCCGCACCCACCACACCCACCGGCAAGAACGCCAGCCCCGTCACGAACATACCGTGAGCGTTCTTCACCTGCAGCACTCGCTGCACAACAATAAGGTTGAGTAAAACTGAGATAGACTATACGCCAGTGCAAGAGGGAGCGAGACAGATAACTAACCTGTAAACTGAACGCGATGTATATATGGACAGAGCCGCTGAACATGGTGCCCACAGCCAGGAACTTGCCGTCGTCGCGCACCGCCAGCGCGGACAGCGCCTCCGGCAGCAGCGCCGCGCGCGCCGCCCCGCCCTCCGCCCCCGCCCCGCGCCACGCCCACTGCTGCAGCAGCCCCCGCGCGCGCCCGCTGCCCGCGCGGGACACGGGGTTCGCTATCGTAAACATCACGTCTGCTGACGCCCCAAACCTAAATATGAGCAAATAAATATACTAAAAAGTACCATCACACAAACAGAAATAATGACCTTTATGCTTAATACAAAAAAATCTTTTAAAAGTTATTTTTAAAAGTTGAACTAGTATTAGTGAAAACTGTGGATTTTTTAATTATTTTCCCTTAGCTCTTTTACATATAGGGAAAATAAAAAATTAACAAACAAAGAAGTTGGGAGCTTTTAGTTCCTACTTCATTCATGTAGAATTAAAAATGAAATAAGTTGCATATATGTTCTTCCAGACTATATTCTACAGCGCCACATTTCACCAAGATCGTTAAAGCCGTTTTTGAGCTAGCATAAGGTTTAATAACATTAAAAACACATTACCCTCTTTCTAAGTGTCAATAATCAATTTATGTTACCTGCACCTCCGGAAGCGGTACTTGGTGCCATTTGGCGGCTGGCAGGTAAGCGTGCGCAGGGGCTCGCGCGCGCCCCCCGCGCTCCACACCAGCGCCAGACCATCCTTTGCGATGCTCACCAGCTGACTGTCGCATGGACTGAAGTCCAGGTCATCCAGCTGGAATACAGACATTCATACAATGACTACAAAGGTTAAAGACCGATTTTGAGAGAAATTATGGAACGGTCCTATGAAAAAGGTTATGCATAAGAAGAGAGTGTATTTAAACATGAAAGCTTAGAGATGATTGATTCCCAAGATACATGTAAAAAGACCAGTGATAGATTATAGCAAGAAGGTTAGAACAAACCTCTTTAGTATGTCCTTCAAGTTGGAACAACAGCTGCATCTGTGGGAAGCTCCAGACTCGAACCTTGCCATCTATGCCACCTGTTGCCATCAGCTTGCCGTTGTGGCTGATCCTTACCACTCTTTGCAGCGGGTCATCACTGAAAAAACACACAATGTGCTATTGTAATACTTTTGTAATATAACCCCTCTGCTTCTAACAGTTGTTTAAATTGCAATTTGTGATGCAACTGAAGTAAACTCTGACTTAATATTCTACTGTAGTTAGAATCCTTTTGATCTTTTAACTGTCTTGTACTACTAAAGTACTAATAAACGACAAGACAGAAACAGAATAACATCAAATTACTTAATGGAAAAATTACATACCCAAAATCAGTTTGAACACTATCACATGGACGTATCTCAAATGACATCCGTTTGTCCACCGTGCCAATGTCTGCTTTAGATATATTGTCGTTCTCGGAGACGGTGCGCCTGCGCCGCCGCACGAGGCCGTTCTCCGCGCGGAAGCTGCCTCGACGCATCTCCGCCACATCCACCATGCGCACGTTCACCCGGTACAGCTGACAGTGACTCTCCTGACCCGCGCACAGGTACGTGCGACCCTGAGCGTTGCGGATCGAACAATTCATTACCACGTTAGGACCCGTCTCGTGCCTCATCACCTCCTCCGCGACGAACTTGTTACCATTGTGCGATATCTCGAATATTTCCTAAAACACAAGCTACTCGATAATACTGAATGTAAAAAAGTAAAACAACAGTAACGGCCAGCTATTTAATCAATGACACGTATTGTTCTTAATGTCAATAAAAGTTATGTTTTCAAAAATAATAAAAGCTAGTCACTTACAAATCCATTTGCCACCCCTGTATTTGAAGCTCCACCACCTCCCGCAACGAGAACATGACGATTCGTAAGGGTCTCGAGGGTATAAAGGGGAAAATCGACCTTAGCAAGCAACCCATCACATCTATTACGAGACATTTTGACTTATAACATTTATTGGATGCACTCCACACTGCGAAATAATTTGTATTACACTAACTGGAACTTAAATTAAGCCCCATGAGTGCTTCTATGTAAACAAAATAAACAAAACTTGGAATAATACAACATTTAAACAATACGAATAGGAACTAAACAAGTGACAAGAATTCCCTACTTCCAACATGACAAAAGTCAAATTGACAGACATTGACAGCAATCTTCGAAAATGTTGCTTTCTTTTCTATCTTAGTCTAAAGATGAATAATATTGTGCTTAAGGAATATATTTTTGGATTTCAACGTGTTGAAGAGAAAATACGTTTTTGCATTTCTGCTGAATAAAACAGTAATTTCATTTACGTTCAACAAGATCTTGGTAGACACTGGATGAAATGAAAGTTTGTTTCTGACAGCGAGAAGACACAGCCGAAGAGTTACAAAGGAAGATTTAAATTCTGGTTCTTTTAATCAATTTTAACTTTCTGTTCTACGTAGAACCGTCATATTTGAGTGTTACGAGCAAATTACAAGACGCACTTTAAGATTCGTTCAGAAATACCGTAGTAGATTTTCTAAACGATTGTAAGGAAAATCAAAAAAGAAGAAAACGTCAACAAAACGTCAACTGTCAAATCAATTAAAGTAGAATTTACAACAAAAATTTTGTACTTGTAAATGAAAATGAAACGATGTCAAATGCTTTGCATTCATTAATTAAATTAAGGAAACAAAATGAATCACGAGGAGATACTGTCGGTGGTTCAGGAGAAGTTTTTGTCGAGTGAACTCGTGACAGCATTTTTGTGTGATGCTAAGGTGCTGCGCCCAGATTGTATTAAGACGGAAAGACTCCTTGCAATCGTTGAATATGGAGACGAAAAAGCGGTTTTTTGTTTATTCACGTCCTGTTACCCACCTAAATCGTTTACTGATTTATCCATAGAAATAGTACTGCCCATAGACAATAGTTTTCAATGCGAAATTGATAATAAGCCTTCAGATCCTGAGGCAATATTGTACCTGAATCTCCAGTCACGTAATAATAAGTTTAAGTTTGAAATCCAAATGACTCCGCGAGTCGACAATTTCGTTGATGATTTGTTTCGCGGTATTGAAGCAGTCAACAAACTTCCTACACAGCCTGAGTTTGTATGGCTTAAGAAATACGATGGCCAAAGAGAAGATGACTTTATAGCACAGACTATGGTCTTACCCAGGACTGGAATGGCTCACACCCAGGTATCAGCCCCTGTAGCCATTAGGGAAAGTCTGATTAAAAGGAAAATGTCTGATAAAGAATTTGACTACACATTTACCAAAAGATTTACAATATTCTGTGGCACATGGAATGTTAATGACAAATCTCCAGTTATACCTTTAAAGGGATGGTTATGTGTAGACAAGGAACCCCCGGACATATATGCTGTAGGTTTTCAAGAGTTAGATCTCTCCAAGGAAACATTTCTCTTTGATCAAACATTCCGAGAGGATGAATGGTATAATGCAGTTAGAACTCATGTTGATCCGAGATCTAAATATGTCAAAGTTGAAATTGTCAGGCTTGTTGGTATGATGCTAATAGTATTAATTAAAGAGAAACATATGTCACATGTGAGGAATGTGGTGTGTGATACTGTGGGAACTGGGATCATGGGTAAAATGGGCAACAAAGGTGGTGTTTCCATAAGATTTGATCTACACAATACATCAATCTGTTTTGTGAACTCACACTTAGCAGCGCATGTTGAAGAATATGAGAGACGTAACCAAGACTTCAGAGATATCTGTTCGCGAACCAGATTCATACAACCAAATCAACAACCCAAAGCGATCAAGGACCATGATCAGGTTTATTGGTTGGGTGATCTTAATTATCGGATCACCGAATTAGATCCAATAAGTGTGAAAAGAATGGTAAATGAGAATAATTTTGCACCAGTTCTGGAATGGGACCAGCTTAAACAACAGCACAAAATTAACAATGTGTTTGCCGGTTATACTGAGGGTCTCATAACCTTCAAACCTACATATAAATATGATCCTGGTTCAGACAACTGGGACTCAAGTGAGAAAAACCGTGCCCCTGCTTGGTGCGACAGAATATTCTGGAGAGGTGAAAACATTACTCAACTGGCCTACAGAAGCCATCCTGCATTGAATATCAGTGATCACAAACCTGTCTCCGCCTTATTTACGTCAGCGATCAAAATAATAGATGAAGAAAAATATAGAAAAGTCTACGAAGAAGTTATTAAACAACTTGACAAAATGGAGAATGAATTGATACCACAGGTTAAGGTTGATATAACAGAGATTGATTTTGGTACAGTTAGGTACTTGGAGTTGCAAGTACGAACTATTACAATAAAGAATACTGGCAAGTTACCAGTTGAATTTGAATTTATTAAGAAATTGGATGAAAGTAGCTTCTGCAAGGACTGGCTGATTGTTGAACCATATAAAAAATGTATCTGTGCAGATGAATCATGTGAGATACAACTAAAAGTACTTATAAATAAGACTTCAGCGTGTAAAATGAATGCTGGAACTGATAAACTATATGACATCCTTGTATTACATTTGTATGGTGGTAAAGATATATTTATAACAGTTAATGGCACATACCAAAGAAGTTGTTTTGGATGCTCCATAGAGGTTTTAGTAAACCTTAACATACCTATAAGAGAAGTTCCAGTTGGAAAGCTGGTGGAACTGGAAAGCAAAAGAGATCAGTATATTTCAAATCAGTCAACATACTCTATACCAAAGGAAATATGGTTTTTAGTAGACCACATATATTTGCATGGTTTGAAAGAACCAAATTTATTTGAACAACCGGGCTTACATTCTGAAGTTCTGCAGATAAGGGATTGGCTAGACAGTGGGTCTATAGACCCAATACCAGGTAGTATTCATTCTGTAGCAGAGGCTTTGCTTTTACTATTAGAAAGCACTGCAGACCCAATCATTCCGTATAACCTACATCCAGTTTGTTTACGAGCATCAGCAAATTATTTGCAATGCAAGCAGATTGTTATGGAGCTACCAGAATTCAGAAAGAATGTCTTTCTGTACCTGTGCGAATTTCTTCAGGAAGCACTGCAGCATAATGCAGAAAATGGACTTGACGCAAAGACCCTGTCAACATTATTTGGAGCGATATTCCTAAGGGATAATCCAAGTGTAGTCCAGGAGCCGCAATCTCGTATTAACAAACAAATAATTGATAAGAAGAAGGCACAATTTGTTCATCATTTCTTAATCAATGATCACAGTGACTTAATTTTTACTAAATAATTTTAATATTTTCATTCGAATAAGATTTTTTTAATACTCAGATTAATTTGACTTCACAGTCATACTAAAAATTTATATTGATTGCAATGCATTCATTAGAGTAACTATTTATTTTTCATTGTTAACTAATCATAGAATTTGGTGACCATTTTTTGGATAACATTGACCATGACTTACAATAAACTGATAGATGTTAATTAAGATAGTTTTCCTCGGTCAATTTTTAGGTTTGTTTTGAACAACCAATATTTTAAAATGCTTTATTTTAATTTTATTAAACTTTAAAAAAATAGACAACCATTTCAACGAATTGAAACGAAAGTGAGTGTACATTATGTTAATTATGTTTTAAGGTGAAATAATTTGAGCAACAGCTCCAATTCCAAATATGAAGGTTCTGACATTATTTTAAATTGTGTTATTTTTAATAATATGTTTTGTAATAACTATATATTTTTGAAATACAAACATCACAAATTAGCCTAAATATATTAATCATTGCCATATAAAGCTGCGTGCGTTAATCATAGTTCATTATTATAGCATACATTTGTGTCATAGTGATAGCATATTTAGATGTGATGTTATCCTTATAATAAACAAAATAACGGTAATATCCTTCTCAAGTACATAATGGTTTATTCATATTAACTTTTTAATTCTTGCAATGTTGTGTCAAATAGTGACTTTACAGTCCATTTATACGTAGAACAAATTTTAGATGTATTGTTACATGTTAATCTTATAACCGAAATGAAATATTTATTGTTTATTTATTAAATAACTGATGTAATTGTTGGTATTTCAATTTATGTATCGAAGTACAGACCACACCTATTGTTACCCTAAATCTTAACGGCATTAATCGTCTTAATATTTACAAAACAATTAGCTTTTTAAAAACATTTTTAACATAAAGTTGTTTATGATCGTTTTACAAAATCAATCGCACAATAATGATTTCATTATTTGCTAAAAGATGGCGCTTTTAACAGGTTGAGCATTTTAGCTAATAAAGATGGTAATCAACCCCAATAGTTTTTGGTTAATAAAAATATTTGGTTATTTTTATATGTTGTTAAAAAAATTATGCTTTTATTAATTAAAATCACGTGATTCTGAACAGTTTTGAACGCAGCTTCCTAGATCATTGGTCGATATATTGAACAAAAGAGCGCGTGATTTGATTTAAACCAATCACCTTAATGCATTTGACCGTTATGTCAACAGGGATGAGAGCCTCTGTCATTCACTGAAACATTTTGAGTCTTCGATAATCGTAATATCCTGTCTTTCCTTATTTTAGTTCAAATTCAATTTATAACTGTTTCAACGGTGCAAAGTGAGAGCAGTTATAAACGCTCGTTGCAGTTTAAACATTACAATCCGTCGGACACTTGAATAAATCGGACGTTTTTAAACTTTGCATTTCTTTGTTCGTGGTGTAAAAGGAACCATGGAAGTTGAAAACAAATGTAAGTAAACAAATATTTTTTTTAATTTTCTACCACTTTATACAATGATTCTAATTAGAATTTACGACAAATTAAATATTTAATTTTTCTGAAATCTAGTAAAACTAGATAAGATTAATTAGAGAAAGATCTGAATAAAAGTACTCTTTTTTTATTTGCTATTTTTAGGTTTTGACTATTTCCTTATGAATAAAGTCATAACATTACTTTATTTCATTCCTTATTGGAAAATTATATTTCTACCTCCTATTTCCTTTTTTACTGTCATATCTAACGACGCGGAGTTTTTTTTTGGAACAAAGTCCTTAGTTAGACATTTATTTCAAAATAGAGATTATAGCATTTGCGATCTAAAATCCCTTTAGTGACTTTTTTTAAAATTCAATGTTTGTTAAAAAATAAATTTCAATGGTTGCAAACTAATGGCGCGTGACACAATATTTTAAAATATAACAAATTAGGTATATACTTAGGTATTATAAGAGACGCGAATGTAAATTAATTTATTACGCTCCAGAATATCCGATAACAAATTGAATTTTTTTTCTTATCACGTCTATGACAACATTTAAAATTTCTTTAAAAACATGGCACGACGATACGAAAAAAGTTCATCCCTGTTCTGCAACATTACCACAATAGGTATTTCTTATTGTACCAAAATAAAATTAATTTATTCTCCTATTCAATATTATTAAATCCGAATTTGTACGAATTTATAAACTACACTAGCTTTCGCCCGCGACTCCATCCGCGAGGAATAAAAAAAAACAAAACGCTCGCCTGTGTTTTTCCAGATTATCCTCTACATCGATACCAAATTTTATCGAAATCCGTTCAGTCGTTTAGGCTATAAACTTTAACAAACATCCATCTAAACTTTCGCATTTATAATATTAGTATGATAAGTATGAAGTATGATTACAGATTTTATTGTAATTTAAAAAATATATATGTAGGCACTTAGGAGCAATGCCGTCGTGAGTTTAGGGAGTGGTTGAGCGACCGCCCAGGGCGCATGACATAAAGAGCCATAGATCTACGAATCAGACATAACACTAATCACGGTAAAAATAGGGCGTTGAAATTTCGCCCAGAGCTCTGATAGAACGAGAATCGCCACTGTTTAGACGTTACCCGTAAATTTTAAAGGTCCCTTTGTCTTGTTATAAAAATACTATGCGTCGTTATCTATATTGTGTTGACCTTTTATCTCACTGCAAGTAAAGTGCATATAAGTTTCATGTTTCCGAGCATAGTAAACAATGCCTTTGTTTGTGTTGCAAGCATTACAAAGAAATCTTATCGGAATTATTTTTATACCGTAATAAAGACGTTGCTTATTATGTGTATTATGATCTTATGATGTAGATTGCTGTTTATAATGTAACTATGTTGTAAATATATTGAAATAATAAATATTGCTTGGAATGTAGTATATTGTTATAAAGGCTGTTGTGATTGTGGTAGAGTTAGGAAGCCGTATATTTAATAACTAGCTGTTTGCCCGCGATTTCGCTTCTCAATGGTGAAAGAATTTTTGAAATCGGTCCAGTAGTTTTTGAGTTACTTTAACATACAAAAAAAACAAATCTTTCCTCTTTGTAACTTTAGTTAGATACCGATTCGAACATATTGATTTATTCTAAGAAATTTCAAAACTATTATTATGCCAAAAAGCATACTAATCATTTATCTACTGTATATTTGTCGCAAATTTGTATCCTTGCATATACTCCGATTTTTCAAGCGTGAGGGTTTATTTAAAATTTGCATAATAACGGAATTTCTTAACGATATCTTTTAATATGACATCACCGTAACCGTCCCGACTAATTGCGTCTCTTTACTTCGATATCTTTAGGTCACAACGGTACTGCAGCTCGTATACACAAAGACGAGTATTCTCTACAGTGCGTTAGTCTGTTTGTCTGTTAGTCATCGAGCGACGGTTAAACTTGTTCCACTTTATGAATGTTTGTTTTTGTGGAGGCGGACGTCTTCGGTTTGAATTCGCGACCGTTGAACGCAAGGACAATCTGCTGTGAGGTTGTGACTCATAACTATATTATGCTTTTAAAATGAGAAACTAAACATAGTTATCTAGACTCTAAATTAAATAGACGAATCTGTTGTTTACGTTTTTAATTATAAAATAAACAATTTACTATTAAAACTTATAGAAATTAATACTCTATTGTGGTTAAGAATGCAATGGTTTGAGGGTCGCATTAATTGTCGCAGTCTCGGTACCCTGCGGGCCCTAGTTTGAAGACATCTGACAGAAGGGTAGCTTTTATTTGAAGAAGAAATTAAAATTTCTACTGTTTTGTTTTAATGAGCATTGTAGCTCCAAGCGATTGTCTGGTCGTTACTGTATCCGAATGTTTTCTAACCTTTTATGTTAGGTTGTAGATATACTATCGTCTGTAAAAAATATGGCTATATGAACTGGCTTGTATGAACACGTTTCCATTACCATATGGTACCGACAACTAAGTAAAGGAAGGGTAAAATATTGGATTGTACACTGCTCTGGATATAGCATCAATGCACTTTTGTTACACTTGTTTTTGTGGCTCGTGGATTCAATATTATTTAAATTTTATTAAAACCATTTTACTATCGAAATACACAAACGATATGTTGTTATCTCTATTATTTGCATTAGTAAAACTGAGACAAAAAATTGTTTCATTACAGTTTCTGTATTGCCACATAGTCTTCACTTGGTTAAAGAAGTCTCTTAGTGTAGAAATCATATTAATATTATAAATGCGAAAGTTTAGATGGATGGATGATTGTTAGAGTTTGTAGCCTTAATGGCTGAACGGATTGCGATAAAATTTGGTATATATGTAGAGGATAGTATGGAAGAACACATAAGATACTTACTTTTGTTTTTTGTATTACCACGCGAACGAAGTCGCGGTTAAAAGCTAGTAAATAATAATGAGATACAATCCGACAACTCTCTTGTTTAATTTGATGCTGTCAAAGTAACTGAAAGTAATATAATGGGTGTGGTATCCTGTGGGCAGTAACAATACACTTTCTATATGCTAGGAGGTAGAATGGCCACTATTGCTGCGTAATGGCGTGTGAAGTGGGCTGCGGATTGCGAGCCGTATTCATTTGACACGGACCATTAATAAAGCAAATTATTTTTACTATTGATATGGTAATTTTTATATGAGGAATGGATTGTTTGGAATATAACGATGGTTGAGATTTTTTAATGCTTGTATATTTTTACGATAAGCCAGCGTCACACCCCAACCCCAATACCTAATTGGAGTAGCATTATTTAATTATTATTTTAATTAAATAAACTTGATATACTAAAACAAATATCCTTGGAAGTCTAGAGACGAAATCCTTGGGAGAATATAAATTAAAAGTTGTAATTAAATCGCTATTAATTCCATCTGTTTAGTGTGAGCGGCGGAGAGCAAACTTTCCGCGCAAACCAACTCGCCTTTAACGTTTATTGAATTGACACTAAGAAAATCCATTTCTCGAAGGGCTTTGATTAAAAATACAGGGTACGTTAGGGTTGTCAACGTCTTATAAAATGTAATTCAAATATTCCTTTTATAGTTTCAACTAAGGGAGTTGTTTAGATTTAATACAAGTAGTTTGCAAAGGTACTGATATATTAAATGAAAAACTGTACCAGTCGATAAAAAAAAACTCTTTATTCAAAGCATCAGGTCTCCTGGTAGACTATTCAATTTTCGCAATATCGATTTTAATAATCAATTATCGATAAATCATAATTTGTTGTAGCAACCCTGACATTCCCTCTTCGAAGGATAGCTTTTGAGGTTCTATAGGTACATTCAATACATCGGAACGGTGTAATGCAATTTCTCTCCGCGGTTAATAGCGCCATTTTACGGCCGCAAGCTGTGTTCATTTGTTGGGGGAGAGCGGATGAATCTTTACCAGATGGGTAAAAATTTATCGTAAGATTCTGTTAAATCATTTATTAAATAATACGTCAACAATATTAGCATATACATTGAATCCTGTCTATTTGTATTTACTTTACTAGCTTTCGTCCGCGACACTGTTCGCTGGGAATAAAAAAACAAAAGCGAATAGCCTACGCGTTGTTCCAGACTATCCTCTACATCTATACCAAATTTCATCGAAGTCGGATCGGCAGTTCAGGCTACAAACTCTAACAAACATCCTTCTATCTAAACTTTCGCATTTATAATGTTAGTATGATTATTATGATAGTGTGATTTAACAACTAGCTGTTGCTGGCGACTTCTTCCGTGTGAATAATAACAAAAAAAATAGCTTATGGTACTCACAGATAAATTACCTTTCTAATGGTGAAATAATTTTTAAAATCTGCCCAGTAGTTTTAGCGTTAATCAAATACATACGAAAATAAAAATCTTTCCCCTTTAAAATATTAAGTATAAGTATAGAGAAACTCGAAATTAGTTAAATAATAAAATTAAGCAATTTAAACGCGATAACAGGAAAAGGCAGAGTGTCAGCAAGGGTCTCATAGTCAAGTGTTTATTCGCGTGTTTGTAAAACAACCATCCCCATAATCGGACCGACCCTTATTTGGGAGATGGTTTTATTACCATATCAAAGGAATCGCACGACGCACCCCTCGCCCCTCACTTGCCAAATATTGACCATTGTAACCGACCGCGCCCTCTCGCGGAATTGTATAAAAATAAAAGTGATTTATGTGTCTGGACGAATTAAGATTCATTTAGATTTCAGCGAATCCAGTATTCATATCAGGTATCATGTATGATCATGAATGCAGAACGCAATATATACTTCTATACTAATATTATATTATAAAGAGGAAAGATTTATATTGATTTGATAAACTACTGAGCTGATTAAAAAAAAAATCTTCAATAACTACATTATCTCTGAGTAATATGGGATATTTTTTTTATATCTTTTAATATCACGCGGACAAAGTCGCGAGCAACAGCTATTTCGGTTATAATTTGAAT